TGCAGTTATAGTACACCATAGCATTAGAACATCAGCAAATAGCAAACAGTTAGAAGTTAACACAATCGCGAGCTCAGTTATAAAAACCAGGAATAGGTGGGGTCCAAGTACCGATCCCTGGGGTACGTCGCACTGAACTTCGATGGATTCCGAAAGGTTGCTCGAGCCCACACATTAACGTAACGTTGCAGTAGAGACTCATGTTCAGCCCAGAACAGGATCGCCGATTCCATGTTTCTGGAGTTTGTGGAGTAAAATGCGATGGTCTAGACGGTCGAATACCTTTGAGAAATCCAGGTAGGCCGCATCAACTCCTACACCAGCAGCCACAGATTTCTCCAGGTTGCACGAGCAATTAACAGATTAATGACACAGGACCGATTTTGGCGAAATCCGTGCCGCACCGAAACGAGAATTTAGTTGTTCTCCAGGTTCCTTAGCTGCAGTGCAGGAATACCGCGCTTAACACGGCACAAATTGTTTACGTGTCTGTATAGCAAGTTGAGATTAAAGGAAAACTTTTACATTAGACCTTTTTGGTTTTTCAGTTTATCCTCCCGGACGAGTTTAACACAGTGATTCCTTTGTATTGTGTAGACATCCCAGGTATCGTCGTTCGGGGAGGCTATGTAGGTGCGTCATGCCAAATCTCTTAATGCCACGCATTTATGTGTCCTGCTCCCTACAAAAGACTGTATCCTTCTAGACCGGCAGAGTTTGGTTTCAGCTGTTCTTGCCACGAGCTTGGTAAATATGCTGACGAATTTTCCGATGGCCACCTCAGGGGTTAAGTCGGCTAAGAACGACCAGTTTGTTGCATCAATGAGGTCGGACAGGTCGTCATAGTTGGCTACGACATGATATTCCTCGGCATGCTATTTAGGATAATCAGCGAAGCACACGTAATGAAACACTAGCGTCGCATGATCGCCGCGGCCCAGAGGAGTATGGGTTATCACTCTCTCGACCATCGGTCCTTCATTAGTGAATATTCGGTCCAATATGGATGGCCTGTCAGTTCCCCTGAATCTGGTGGGCGTAGTGAAGCGGCCATAAAGCGGGAAGCCTGAAAGCAGATCTTGCAGGTCTCCTTTGAATTGCTCTTCTGGTGCGGCCTGGGGTTCTACAGCATGTAAATTGAAGTCGTCGGTGACTGGAATGGGACTGTACTTCTTGTTTATCACTTACCTCAACGCAGTCACCAAGCTGCAGTCCATCTCAGGAGTAGACGATGTTGGGCGTTAAACCACAACCAATAACCCAGTGTCGTTCCCTCTCAGCCGGTGTTCGAATGGTTTATGAGTTTGCGTTGCAGGTTGTTACGAAAGTGGAGGGCTACCCCACCACCTTTGTTGGCTCCATCCTTCCGGACAGGGAACAAGCCTGTTAGCGCGACTTCGGAATCCGTTCTCTCACAGCTCAACCACGTTTCGATGACAACGATGAGGTCCCAAGCTGCTGACGCGTGTCGAAATCTTAATTCAGCTAATTTGCTGAGTAGACCTTGGGCATTTGTGTACATGCATGAGAGCTTCTAGGAGACAAAATGTGTGTTAGACTGGATGGGTGAATTAAGTAAGTTTACGCCGACCAACAAAGGGTCAGCGGCTAATCCATTTCTGGTTGGGTTGCAGACTCCCGAGACGAATTTGGTATATAGTCAAGTATCTGATGCCCCGGCTCCCGGTGTTTGCTCGTGCTCTGCTATGTCCCTCCGGACATTATGGCTACTGTTGAAACCATCTCCGAGTCGGTTCCTGCAGTTGGCGTCTTCATGGAGAGTTGTGCCTCCACTGAATTGTCATTAGATGCTGGTGTTCTAACTGCTTTCAGACGAATTTCGGCAATTTGCTACGGAATTTAATCCAGTTCTCTAAAAGGGTTTGTACCATTAGTTCTGATTGCAACACAAGTTTCGACAACCTGGGACCGCCCCTTTATGGTTTGGTGAAATGGGGATCCTTGTCAACGAGGTGGCCACGACATTTTCGAGAGAAATGGCCTCCCGGATGCTGTGCCATTGCTCGCGGTCGTGCATCTAAGCATCATCAGAAGAGGAATCCATAAGCTCAGGAACACCGTGAGCATGCACTGTTTTCTTAGCTTGACTTCTCTGTACCTCTCTCTGTTAGCAGGATCCGTCGAAGTTCCTTTCCACTGTATTTCAGGTAGTATGCACACTTTACATGAGTTGTTGCGGAGACGATTCACAGACAGCAGAACGGCGTCTGCCACATCTGCCGCGTTTTGTGTTACCCGAAATAACCAGGGTTCACCGTAGTGCAGCGCGTTTGGGTGACGCGAGATTCGTTTTATTGTCGTGCGATCAGCATGGACAACGGTCGACGTGCAGATGGAACCGCATTGATTTCGATCGTCAGTCAACCTACGCTTAATGGTATTGGAGTTGGACTCGGGAACATTTGTGCACACAAGGTTTAGGGCATCATGGTTGCGCCTGGTCAGTACTTGTTTTGCATTTGGAGCCTTGGTATCCGGTGTTTTTGAAGTAATGGTGAACGGCACTGGTGGGCGCCTTCCGTGCTGCGACACTTTAGTTTGCTCTACTCGGGACACAAAAGTTATCTGTGCTCTTTCCTGTGTTTGCTTGACGGCAACCGATGGGTACGTTACCGGGTTGTTCGCTATGGCTGGTTGACTGCAGCGTACGGTCTCCTGTGTAGCGAACAGACTACCAAGTGCAACACACTGTACAGAATTTGAGGCGGGCGCGCTGCAGGCAATGTTTTTGGTTATAGGAAGGAGAGGGAATGCAGTTCATACTGCTGGAGGCTGAGTCATTGGGGTAAGTTTGGGACGCCTGGCTCTCTTCTTCGGCCTGACTAGGGAATTCGGGGTGTTATTTTCACATACAAGTGCAGGTCCGTTTCCTCGCATGGGTGTAACCCTGGTACTCCCTAGTTTCTCGACCGGTTCTGTTAGTCTTTCATACCTCTTCAGTAGCACAACTAAACAACTAACAACTGCGATAGAATCGCTTACTTGGCAGAACCAAAACCCCGCTGCCGTGTTCATGTCGTTTGTCGTCCCAGTCCCAAGGCAGGTAATGTGATAGGATTTTAAGCACATCGTGCACACCAGACTATTTTGTACTACTTTAGCACATGCTTCGCACTTGCTCTTCATACGAGACATGTTCACAGTAGGCGTGCTGTGTTAAGATCACGCGTTTGTCAATTCAGCTGCCCGCGTCAAGTGTTCCCAGTGTTCCCACTTCAACGCACACGTCGAAGTGTTGGTCAGTTGATCGATCGATGTTAGGTCCGGTTGGTTTGGGACCCAGTAAATGAAACTACACAGCGGTGAAAACAGATCGCGAGCTCACAAATTTCTTCACGGATCGTTGAGAAACGCCGGATTGAAGTAAGCTTAGGTTTTTCGGACTGCCTCGATAATTCTGCACCGAATGGTAGTACACAGAAAAGCCATGGACACAATGTGAATGAGTTATCCCCTTGTGTTCAATCGCGGATGACGACCAAGTTGGATAATGATGGTTGAAACTTTAGTGGTATACCATACTTCCGCTTATGATAGATCACTGTGTAGTGCTGGTAAATCCGGTTCGAATTTGCGTGCGCTGACTACGCTGGAAGGAGACAGAGAGAAGATAGAGAGGATTATTCCAATGGGACCGAGAGCACGCACATCGAGTGTTTTGGATATAAATAGCTGTTTCGGTTCACTATATCAGAACGGATGTGAGATGCATATAAACAGATTGTAGGCCTTTATGTTTTACTATTAACACCTGTGGCAGTTTTGTTTATTTCAGAAGCAGAAGCGTCTATAAGCTAATGACAGTTATTATTCGTTGAGAATTGTTGGTATTTCCAGCGGCTTGCTGAATCCTAATGGATCATCTGTGTTGCTAGAAAAATTTGAGTTGCTATGTAGGTCGACGTAAAAAATAAATATGTGCCCAACATAATATTGTTTGGCAAAACGTTGTGACAAACACGGCGGCTAACAAATCCATGACTAAAAGCACCTAATTGTGGCGCATATCTTTTACCAGAAGTCGTAAAACGACTCACACCTTTTGCTTTAGGTAAGAAGCAGACACTGTGAAAAAATGCGTGTTTGTGACGTGATAATTTAATTTTTGCAATCGGTTTAGGAAGAACAATGAAGTGGATTGTTATGAACAACTTGGTCATTTGTGCAAAGATTACTCTTATCAGCATAATTTATGCATAGGCGCATTGATACAAAACAACTGAATGAAGTTCTCATGTAGGAAAAATAATAGTTACCAGTGCTTCGGAGTAAATAAAATTAGAAACTGAACTGCTTCCCTTTGTATCTTTATGATCTAAAAAATTAGGTATCTTATTTACCGAAAGGAATTGCCAGTATGTTGCTTCGGTTACAGAAAAGTGGTAGACCAAATGCCTTCTCACAAACAGCTAGATTTAATTGTGGGACACTTACTGGACTGAATACAACTAGATGGTAAGTAATGCTTGTCACTTCTCGATGATTTTGCTGGCTAGAGTTTCCCAGGCGATTAACATTTTAATAATAATAATATTAATAATAATAATGTATATTATCGGCTTTACGATACATGCTCTTTTCGGCATGATTAAATTTGCATAATTTTTCGTATAACTAACAACATATTCAACGTCAGACAGAAATGAAAATCGTGTTTCTATCCTCCAGGGTTTTACAGAACAAAGTCATTTTGGGACACAGAATAAATCATGCCATCCTGAAGGAGATCTCATCGTACGGATGAAACCAACTTTTCATTTCCTTGGGTAAAGGATGATGGGCTAGTATGGTGATAGAAGAAACATTAAATCAAAAATCATTGTTATTGAACTGATCAGCTGATAGAGGGTAATCAGTTATTACAGACGGTGGAGTTCCAATAAGGTTTGGTGGAAGACAGGGAGTGTTAATTGGTTTTCATTTAAGCCGCTGCACATTGGGGCTAACTGAAGTTTTGTTTTGTTTGCCGAATTTTGTAGTGGACCAAAAAAAGCACTGGAACATCAACTACAAATTTCGTGTTCAGAGGATGATCGTAAAGAAATGGAAATGTGGAGAACCCGTTATCCTTTTGAGCCCATTGAAGAAACAGAGGAACTGCTGTCAAAAAGTGATTCAACCTCCACTTTGAAAGAAAATGAAGATACGACGCATCTCGTGACATCATCGACTCCAGGTGATGAAGCTACGTTAGAAGATGAATTGTTCCACTTCAAAGGTCCAAGTATAGAAACAGATGTTCAACCTGACTGCAAAAAGGACAATCTAAATGTTTTAAATGTTCGAGCAAAAAGTAGGCGTCCGCGAAGTTTTCTAAGCCGATCAGCCACATGGGATGGGTGGATGCTAGAAGAGGCAGCGGCCAAAATGCTCTGCAAAAGGAAACAAGATGTTGCGGTGCAAACGGACTCTGATGATGAGACTGCTGGAAATGGTTCTGATATCGTTATTCGAACGGTGTTATAACTCATGAATGGGGTTTCATTTTCATCCATTGTCATCACCTTAACGTAACTGTGACAATTCCTGGTGAGAACTCGTTACCATATCACTGTTTAGTAACCCTTATTTTGAGGTCACAGACGAATTCTAAACATATACGCCTACCTCTGTAAAAAGGAAGTAAAAGCGCGCTTTTTGCATGACCTTTGCAAAACTTGAATTAACATACTCAACATCGACAGCTTCTTCACCAAATTGATTCGATCACAATGTACCCTTTTTCGGTTTCCATTGATTTTTCTAAACCGGTGAATTCTGTCTATTTTGCACCAATTAACCAAGATACACAAAATTATGCGTGCTACGGAAGCAAAATGCTGTTATCACATTTAAGTTTCATCGAGATTTATCACGCAAGATGATGAATCAACATAAACAACCAAACTTGATGGATTTCAAGCTCATCACATGTAACAAAGCATTGTGCATGCATAAATGCAGGCAAATGCAGGTTTAACCTAAGAAAGCTAATGAGCTCGAACGTGAACGAAAGATGTGGGATCAGCGGAAAGAACATTTGCAGTATTCTCTTTGCAATTTGTTTGAGCGAGGTTTGAATGTACTGTCTGCCATCTTATCGGGTAATGCTGCTAAAACGCACTCAATGTTTGGACACAATGACTGTACTGACCATGAAAATATTTAATTTAAAAAGTCAGTTTCTAATGATAGTTTTAAACATTAATGGTCTTTGGCTGCAAAGAACATAAGTTGACCAAACATTAAGCATAACACGAAAAGCTAGAGCAGACGATTCGAGTAACAAACAGAAAGCGAAAGTAGCTTTACATGTGGATCAAACTGTATGTACTCGCTGAAAGGTAAAAAGAAACTAACATGGTTTCATGAGTTGATTCCTGCCAATGCAAATGGAACGCCACTGCTGAGTTCTGACGGACTGTGGTAACAAAATACAAAAAAGATATCTTACCATGTTTTCGACCCATTTTATGGCGGCTTACTTTCATGTGAAGTAAAAGTATTGCCCACTAGACCGCAGAAAAGAGAACCGTGTGGACACTCAGGCTTACTATGTTCTTTTGATCCTTTCACTTTTGGCAGATGGCAAAGATTTTACCAAATCCTTCCCGTTTTGTTTATATTCAAAAGTATCATTTTTCTGCTACAATAGCTTTGGAATATGATGTGTTAGATGCTGCTATATCTACTTCGATGCTCCAAATTTGTTCAGATTCTCAGTGTTGAAGGAATACTTAAAGCTGTACTTACCCGTGCGCTTTCCCAAACAACTTGTCATACATTTCGCTGCGGTGAATAGTAGTCATCCTTCTGCTGCTTTGCATTCAATAAATCGATTTAGATTCAGTAAAATGGGCGTTAAGGGTAAACGGCACTGAAAGAAACACTGCATGCATCAGGTTTGCGAAGGTAGTGATATGTAGCACCCATCGTGTGTTATATATCAAGTACGGCGATAAGCAGCCAAAAGAAGTTGAGTGAGAGCATACAAAAGCTAGAAAAGGGTTTAATGAAAGGGCGAAGACTATCTAAGGTTAAAAGTAAGCACCAGAAGAGGATTAGATAGACGAGGTATGGACGGTGGCTGAGCGCGAAGATGACCACCAACAGCATGTCGCGGATGCCTGTGTATGTGGGCAACATTTGAATAGGTTAACCGCTTAATTCACTTATACGTAAGAAAACTATGCTTCCATAATATTTTAGAATAATTTACACAGTCAAACGCGATAAATCTGTTAACGGGGCAGGCATTCCTTTCCTAGCATCCCGGCACAGCTGATCATGACCCAGACCTAGTCTTATTGACAAACCAATGAGAGCAAGCTAACAATGACGCTTCACTTTGCATGTTGCCAGTGAGGATGGTCTGCTTTGAAGCGCGGCAGTGAGCACTAAGCCATCCGTTTATTAACTTGTTTCGATCCCTTTGTTTGTGTTGCTTACACTGCTTGCCGGGTGAGCAATACAGTCTTCCGCTTGTGGCCTTTGTCTTCTAAGATGGAAAGTTGGCCGGTCAGCTTGCGCGGTAGCAGAAGTGTACCCTTATAGTCAGCGGAATCCACAACCATCCAAAACTCACTGAAGTAAGTAAATTCTAAGAAACTAGAAGAAAACTGGACTTATTCTGTAACCCTGTATGCTTATTCATGCGTAGACTGCTCAGGAGTGTTGGGCCAGTACTGAAAAATGACAACCATTTCCCCCTGTATCGCATTGGCAAAATTGTGCAAATAACCTTACGCAGTTCTAGTTTCTATTAGGTGCCAGACCGTCTAAAATGAACCTGATTTACTGTCTCTGACTACCAGCGTTGCAGCAGCGCAGCTACTGTGGTTGGTCTAAGTAAGACGGTGAAAGTTGATAGGGAGTTCTAAATGTTGGTTTAATTCTTCAATTTCCGACGCGATTCCACACAAGGTTTCATATCATAGCATAAATCGTGCCTGCAACCACAACCTAGGAGCAGTTATAGCTTCAAATAGTTGAGAAGGTAGACAACTGAGTCATGAATACTGACTTCACTTCCCGCTTTCAGTGGAAGTCATGTCTTCTTTCAGGGCCAACATCTTCCGCTGTAACGTTTGTACCTCGCATGGCAGTGGAGGATAAGACGTGCTATATCTCAAATGACCATGAACGCTGTATCGATAGCAGTGAGATAGAGTGCTGCTCGTCGAATAACAAAGACTGTCGAACAGTTGTATCATATTTTTATAAGGGCTCGTACGGGTGGCTTTTTCATATTTCACCAAATTAGTTGTGACAAGCTTGAGTCGTGTTTACTGACAGCCAGCTAAATTCAGTGAGCCTGAAAGAAAGTTTGCTTTTACATGAGCGGCAACAAACATGACTCTTCTTAGAACACTTCACGCAGGCTCTGTCCGACTATCGTAACTATTGCTTTCGTTTAGTGCGCATGCGACAACAAGGGCCACAGCTAGGTTTCTGTCCCTTCAATGTCTGTGACAAACGTTCTCGTTTCCTTGATTTTGAGAATTCCCGCAGTTGTCTTTTATATGATCTTTTGAGGCTGTTGTGTAGTCTTTGCCTTGCTGGGACCGATGTTAAGGCACCGTTATAGAGCCAATATTCGCTGACGATAACGGGATACTTCGATTCTTCTTTCCTTATACCATTCACGAGACGAGCACACAGAAGAGAAGCAGGCAATCAAGCGCAAAAGCAGCTGCAATGTCCTGCTGTAGCAGCTTCAGCTAGGTCATGTAGACCTAGAACGATTCACCCGGCAAAAGATCACAACCGTTGAGCAAACATCTTTGGTACCTTTCCACTGACCGCACTTCACAGAACTCATTGAAGGCATAGTCATTGAGTGTTCGTTCTCTCTGCTTAGGATTTGGCTTGAACCCGTTTAGGTTTCTAGCCTTTGATCCATTGTTGCTCCACCCCGTTTCTTACAATGGAACCCGAAAGGTAGTCGAATGTGGAAAGTAGAAAAGCTATTGAAACAACAATCAAAAAATGTTTTTTTTAACTGTATCCATTTTGTTGGAAAACGGTGCAGGTGTAAAGTTGAGGTGTTTCTCCTAACTTTTGGAGTTTTGCAGCATTTGGTGAAGATATTCAAAGATTCGTAACTAGTCCATCCAAATATTAGATTTTAGGGTTTGGGCGTTAATGGTGTCTCGTAAGTGCTCAACCTTTCGGCAAAACTTAGAACCAGTGTGATGTAAATCTCCTATCTGCCACAATAGCATACATCCATACACCTGTACGCTTTGCTGGATTTTGCATTAGTTGATTAGACGAAGAAACTCTACATTCTAAGCAGCCGCCTAGAGCAACTATGAAACTATCGGCGAAAGGCCTAGGTACTTAAGGAACAGATTTCAGGATATTTCAGCTGTAAAATAATTTAGTATTGCTGTCCATAGGGAGCAAATGTTGCTGGATTCAATCCTGCGACTATCTGCTCCGTGAAACGGGATCAAGGTGCTCCGTCCATGTCTGTAGGGCCCCTTTCGTTGAATATTCCCTCTAAACACATTGCGTTCTAGTTTTAGTTACCTGATTTGCATTATAAATGACAAAGTTGTCTGCACCAAAACCCATTAAACATGCTTACATATATGAGAGAACATGCTAACTGAAGGTCAATAGTACTCAGTCATCCCTAGACCAGAACCATGGCGATATGTCACAACTAGATTATTGATGTGAGCCTATTCATGGAGAAATAATTATTAAACTGTGTTGTACCAGGAAGAGCAAGCTGTTGTGTATCTATTACTAATACGGCAATCAAAATGACGGAACTTATGATTTTCACTAGAATGGAGTGCCTCCAACGAGGCTTTCACACCTTACAAAGTCATTTCTGTCGTGTAATTATAGTGCCAAACTGCATACGTCTCAAAAATTTATGTCATTCTTACGACCCCAATTGTTAGAACTCAAATGTTGATATTCCTCGCAGATAAGCTAATTGCACCAAAACCATCGGTGACCTGTTTCCAAGCTACAAGTGAACTTCAGAAATTTGCTTAACAAATCATCCATTGTATATTTGGTAGTGCTATGATGGAGTAGAATTTTCCACAATAACTACATGTATTGCTCCAACTACTGATACGGGGGTCACCTTCGTTCATAGTCTTCATTAACGATCTTGCTAATACTATCCAGTCGCACTTCCTACTCTGCGCAGATAATGTAAAGATGTACTATGACGTCGAGAGTATGGACGATCACAGTGCGCTGCAGAGCGGTCTTAACAGCGGTTATGGGTGATCATTCCAAAAACGGCTACGGTTCAACTTGGCGAACGGCAAACTTTTGAGCATAAGCCATTGGCGTACCCATGAATATCAACCCGAAGAATAGTCGTTGGAACATGCTACACAACAAACCGATCTCGCAGTAAGTGTGTAGCATGACCTTGGCTGATCGAAACATGCCGAAATAAAAAATCTAGTAAAGCCAGTGAGCACTGTGGCCTGCAACAGAGGGCCTTCGGAAGTTTCGATCAGTTTGTCTTTTCATAATGCCGAACGCCTAGTTAAGGCCTCAAGTGGAATACGATATCCGGGCCCAGCATCAGTGGCCCAAACATGTTACTGATGCGCTTGAAGCTTCGAAAGGTAGGTTAAC